ATGACAGGCACAGCCCCGGGCTCTCTTAGAGGTCATGGAAGAGTCCAGCAGGGGCAGATGGGGCCTGCGGTGGCATCAAGTCAGCCAGATACCTAAAGGCAAGGCCGAGCAGCAGCCCGCTCAAGACAGAGGCTGCTGTCCTAGCCTTGGAACCTCGGGGAGTGACCTTATTTGGAAATAGGGTCCATGCAGATGGAATTAGTTACGATGAGGTCATGAGGGTGGGACCTGATCCAATGTGACTGATGTCCTCATAAAAAAGGAAATTAGGCCCCTGAGTTCAATTCCCGGTACCAAAAAAAAAAAAGGAAATTAGGACGCACACAGGGCATGTCCCGTGAAGATGGGTACCGCTGGTGTCACCACTGTCCACCCGCGCTCTCCCCACTGGGAAAAGCTGCTTAAGGGAACTAAGGAGCTGCCTCCAGGCACAGACGCGGACAGCTGGCTGCTCCCGCTCCAGAAGTGAGAGTCTTGTGCACTATTTGCACACTAAAACTTAATTAAAAACCAAGATGTCTGCTGAGCCTCCTCTGATGGGGCTCATGACCCTAGGACTCCACGTCGGTTTGCTCTTCCTGGCTCCAAACGATCCACATTCCCAGGTGATTCATTAAAGGAATAAAGGGAAATGACACAGAATGGGGCGCCCTTAGACACTATCCTAAGAGCTGGGGCCCCCAGGATCGCATGTTGCTAAGGAAAGTAGATGCGGGCAGGGTGCAGCTCCGTGGCTGTGCTTGTCTAGCATCTGTCCCCAACGCAGTGCCCCTCCCTTCTTTTTTTTGGTACTGGAGATGGGTCCAGCCCTTGAGACAGGGCCTCACTAGGTGGCCGAGGCTGGCCTTGAACTCGGTGCCCTCCGGCCTCAGGCCCTGCGCCGGGGTTACAGGCTGCAGACGCCGCGCCCCTCACCTCCTTTGGATGGGCAGGAAACCCCTGAAAAACGGTGTACGGTGCGCGGGGAGCTGGAAGGCGGTTCCTCTGCCGACGCCAGCCTGGTCAATCAAGTCAAAGAGGCGGGGCCGGAGGGGCTGGCGCGGGAGGTCCCCGGGCGATTGAGCAAGGAGCCGTCTGGAATCCGGGTCCGTCCAGGTTCCAGGGCGAGCTCTTCTCCGCCCTGGGCTCATCTTAGAGAACCAGGCTGGACGAGCCGCGCTCCCAGGCCCGAACTCCGGGACAGCGAACCCCCTGCGGGTCTCAGGGCGTCTGCAACCTCCGTCACAGTCGGATTTTAGAACATTCCATCATCCCCCAAAGAAGCCCTGTCCTCTTGAGCAGTACCCTGTCCCCTCCCCGACCCTCCACCCACGAATCCCGTCCCTGTCTCTGGATACTCCTGACGTTTCCCGCCAATGCAGCTGCACACCGTGAGGCTCGCGCCTGCTGTCCCCCTGACCAGGCGGTCCCTGTCCGTCCTGCACAGCGGGAATCGGTCTTCACTCTTTCTTTCCCTGTAGTGCTGGGGATTGAACCCAGGGGCGCTAGACCACTGAGCTACATCCCAGCCCTTTTTATTTAATTTGAGACAGAGTCTCACCGATTTGCCCATACTGGCCTTGAACTTGCCGTCCTCCTTCCTCAGCCTCCCCAGTAGCTGGGTTAACAGGCGTGTGTCATCACACCGGCCTTCCTCCGTTTTCATGACCAATAATATTCTCTGTGTGGACATGGACACGTCACTGATTCATTCATCGTCAAATAATTCATGCTCTCACTTTCTGGGGCTTCTGAGCCACAGTACTGCTGACCTCCTGGGACACTCTGGTCTTTGCTTTGGTGCTGGGGTGGAATGGAGGCCACGGTCTAGGCAAGCAGTCTGCCCAGCTGCCTCCCCATCCCGAGCGTGCCTTTGACGTGTGTGTTTGGAACGCCTGTTTTCCCAGGAGCGGGACGCGGGGTGGAATCCAATGGTAACTCCACCTTTACTTCACCCTTTCAGGAATTGCCTGCTGGTTTTTACGTTGGCTGCCCTGTCTGCGAGCCACGTACAGGATCCCTCCATGCATTTATTCAGCAATGCACACTAAGCACCTATTAGGGGCAGTGCCAGGTCACAGACAGGAAACATCAATGTGGAGAGATGTCACAGGAAGGGGGTCATGAGCAATTCCCAAAGATGGGGGGCTCAGGACAAGTGGGGTCCTTGACCAACCGGGGGGGGGGAGGAATTTCAGCTCATGTCCATGGACCCAGAGATTGACTCGGAAGCCAGGGGATGCCCTGTGGGCTGTGCCAGAGCAAGAGACTCTTTTGAGGTTCTTGGGCTCTTCCTTTAGAGGAAACTTGGGGAAGGTGGCCTGGAAGCTCTGTGGGATTGACAGGGTGGTTCTGAGGATTTTTTTTTTTTTTTAAGTTGTAGTTGGACACAATACCTTTATTTTATTTATTTTTATATGGTGCTGAGGATCGAACCCAGGGCCTTGCACGTGCTACGTGAGCGCTCTACCACTGAGCCACAACCCCAGCCCCGGTTCCGAGGATCTTTAGACTGCCGTGGTCTCCTTGATCTCATCGTAGACAACACTGGAAAGTCCCCTAGGTTATAGGTTTCTTAAATGTCATTTCTGGGCTGGGATTGTGGCTTAGTAGTAGAGTGCTTGTCTGACATGTGTGAGGCTCTGGGTTTGATTCTCAGCACCACATATAAATAAGTGAATAAAAAGAGGTCTATCAACAACTAAAAAAAATTTCTAAATGTCACATCTCTCTTAATCTACTGGTAGGCTAACAGTGTACAAGGTGATTTTCATAAGCTGGTGAAGTTACAGTAACTTTAATATTTACAGGTTTCCAGAAACTTGAGAGTGGCAGGCCTGGGAGAGACTGGCTTGGGGAGTGACAGACCTGGTATAAAGAAATTTAAATCAAAATTATATTTTCTTGGTGGGGCGCAGTGGCACACACCTGTCATCCCAGCAGCTCTGAAGGCTGAGGCAGGAAGATCACAAGTTCAAAGCCAGCCTCTGCAAAAGCAAGGCCCTGTGCAACTCAGTGAGACCCTATCTCTAAATACAAAATAGGGCTGGGGATGGGACTCAGTGGTTAAGTGCCCCTCTTTCTTTACTTTATGTCTCCTTCATATATATATACATATACATATATACATATATATATTTAATTCTATCCTGCTTCACAGGGGCATGTGGGAGTGGGGGGAAAGAGATGGACCACAAGCCTGGGAAACCCTTGCTGAACAGGCAACATTTGGGCAAATACCTAAAAGAGGTCCAGGAGAGAGGCAGGAAGGTATTGGGGCAAGAGTTTTCCAGGAGTAAGAAACAGCAAAGGCCCAGCAAATGGAAAAGAATGAGATGGATTTGGGAAACAGCAGGGGGCGTGGAGCCAGGGAGGGAAAGGAGAGGAGTGTGTTGGGGGTACCTTACCTGTCCACCACATTCGCAAGATCCCTGTGGTCTTTCTTCCCCACTATCCGTTTCCAAATGCTCTCAGCCCTCCTCATGATACCATCCCCAGCCTGACCAAGACCCTGTCTGTCTAGCCTCTATTTTTTTTTTTTTTTTTTTAAAATATTATTTCTGGCCATTAATGGACCTTTATCTATCTACCTGTATGTGCTGCTGAGATTCGAACCCAGTGCCTCACACAGGCCAGGCTAGCGCTCTGCCACTGAGCGCTCTGCCACTGAGCCCCAGCCCCAGCCTAGGGTCCAGCCTCTTGGTCCTGGGCATCGTGCAGTAAACCTATTGCACAGGAGGTAAAACCTTGGTCCTAGGATGAAGCAATCCCCGCGTCCAGAAGCCCCAGACCGCGTAGGGCGACATAACAGGGACTGCAAGTTAAGTGAATAAACGGGAACTCTCCCCCTCCCCAGCTTTTGAAGGACGCTAAGAACAGGTCCACCTTGCCCTACCGCAGGGCGGTGCCTCTTGGACACCTTAACCTCTTCCCTAGCAACCTACCGCTGTCCCCATGGAAACTGAGGCGGGACCAACCCGGATCCGCAGGTTCTCAGATCCGGCAGGGGCGGGGAGTCTCAGCTTCAGCCTGGGAGGAGCAGTTCGCGCCGCGTCTACTGGCCCTTTAAGAGGCTCCGCCCAGCGAGGCCTCCTGGAGCCCTTGATTGGTCCCGAGCGCAGCCGAGCGCAGCCGAACTTGACGCACCGCCCGCAGTCTTCCCGCCCCACCTTCCACGCGCCTCTGCAGCCTATTCAGCCAATCACCCACGGGCGCGCCGACCTTTATCTGCATAGTCACGCCTCAGAGGGATGCCGCACCCAATCGGGCCACAAGCCACGACTGTCATTAGCATGCCGGGGGCGGAGAGGGGCGGAGCGGCCGGCAGGGGCGGGCTCGGGGCGGTTGGTTGGAGCGTCGCCGCAGTCGAAAGGTCCGGGAAAGTTTCTTTGGAGGTGAAAACAGCCGCGGAACTCGGGGTCCTGCGAGGGGGCGGGGGCGCCAGGGTCCGGGAGTCGGGGCGGGGCCCTTTCCGGGCGGGAGGGAAGCCGGCCCGGCCTCCCGGGGGGCGATCGCCCAACAAAGGATTCCTGGGGCGCCCGCCCTCGAGGACTTCCCCGCCCCCGGATCCGGCTGCCCCCGCCAGGCGCCCCGGGCCCGGCATCGCGGCTCCCGGTCGGGGTGGGGGCGGGACCCCGCCATCCGGGGCTCGAGAGCCCACACCTCTGCCTGCTTGTGTTCCAGGTCCGGCCCGGAGCGGCCATGTCCCACGGTCCCAAGCAGCCCGGCGCGGCCGCCGCGTGAGTGCGCTGCTCCCCGCCCTGTCCGAGCTCCTGGACTCCCACCCCTTGGGGTCTTGACTCCCCCACCCGGGTCGGGGATCTCCACGGGCTTCTCCCTAGACTCCAGCCTGCGACCCCGCTCCTGGGCTCCAGTCCCTCCCAGGACTCCCGGCTCTCCCCGCTACTGAGGCAGTCTCGACCCCTTGATCCTGACCCCCTCGAGGTCAGGGAGGCCCTACCCGTCCCCGGACTCATGCCCCTCTTGGCCAGCTCCGTGGTCTCAAAACGCTCAGGGTGAGCGTGGCGGGTAGAGAAGGCTCCAGGGTGGGAGTAATCCTGGTGACCCCTCGTCCCAGGCCGGCGGGTGGCAAGGCTCCGGGCCAGCATGGGGGCTTCGTGGTGGCTGTCAAGCAGGAGCGCGGCGAGGGCCCGCGGGCCGGCGAGAAGGGGTCCCAGGAGGAGGAGGTGAGAGTCCTTCCCCTGCAGCCGGGGAGGCCCCGGGGTCCCGCCCCCAACCTCGAAGCCCCGCCCAAGACCAGATTTGAATTCCTGGAGCCTCCTCCCACAGCCCCGATTTCTTCTGGAAGCAGAGAGAGACCCCACCCCACCCGTGCTAGATGCCACGCCCCTAACAGACTCACTGCCTCTGAGCCCAGACCCCGCCCAATGCCAGTGGTAGTTCTGCCCACGCCGAGGGCCCGCCCACTTCCCGCCTCCCTGGGGGCCGCTCCCTCCCTACCAAGAAGCCACGCCCATAGCCCAGCCAACCACCTCCCTGGGCTCTGCCCACTCTCTAGTAAGTCGGATGCCCTCCCCTGGTCAGGGAACCCCTCTAATACCCAGGTCCGGATGCCTGGCCGCGTCATACCTCCAGTCCTTCCCGGTTTTCCAACTAGGCCCGGCCCCTCGTCTAGCCCCCGCCCACGCAGTCCCCGCCCCTTCTCCGCTGAGCCCCGCCCCTGCCCTCCAGGCCCCTCCCAATAACGCAGAGGGGTTTTGCAGCCAGTGAAAAAGCGTGGCTGGCCCAAGGGCAAGAAGCGAAAGAAGATTCTTCCGAATGGGCCCAAGGCACCGGTGACAGGCTATGTGCGCTTCCTGAACGAGCGGCGTGAGCAGATCCGCACGCGCCACCCGGACCTGCCCTTTCCCGAGATCACCAAGATGCTGGGAGCAGAATGGAGCAAGCTGCAGCCAGCAGAGAAGCAGGTGAGGGTGACCCCCAGCCCACTCGGACACCCCTGCAGCCACGTCCCTCAAAGCATGTGGAGGGTTCATATTCTGCTTGGAAAAATGAGCACCCATGAACACCCACCCCAAGTTGGCAATAATTAGCCACAGGGGAGAATAGTTCTAAAATTTAATGTTATACCTAAAGATGTAGAGATGGGGGCCATATTTGTTGGTGAAATCTTGTGAGTCTCAAATTCTGGTAATCAGTTTTAAAATTGGAAAAGCATTGAAGAGATTTAACAAATCTGCTTCCAGTTTGCACCTGTTGAAAGTGATATTTCAACAAGCAGAAACGGTGTGGCATGGAGTAGGGACAATCCAGGCCTTAGCAGCCTAGAGGAGGGGGCCATGTAGGAGGGAGGAAGGCGCTGAGTTGGGGCCGTGGGAGGTAAGGTGGGCACTCTGAAGTGCCCTGGGCAGCATCCGGAGGGCACAGGGAGCTATGGAAAGCTAGGGGGGTGGGGCAGGGCCAGACCTGGGTGAGGGAGGCAGAGTCTGGCCATAGCCGGCTGTCATCTGGGCTGGGCTGAGCCTCTGGATGCTGCCCTGTCCCGCAGAGGTACCTGGATGAGGCGGAGCGGGAGAAGCAGCAGTACATGAAGGAGCTGCGGGCCTACCAGCAGTCAGAGGCCTACAAGGTGTGCGCTGAGAAGATCCAGGAAAAGAAGATCAAAAAAGGTGAGTCTGCTGGAGGCCAGTGTGTGGCACCTGCCCTGCACGGTGTTGACCCCTGCCCAGGCAGAGGTCCCCTCCATGGAGAGAAAAGACACATAACCGGCTACATATGCACGAGGGTCACTCGGTGCTGCAAAGGGGACCGCGTGGGGAGCCCGAGCCAGGATGAAAGGGAACTGACGGAGGGGAGGGCGGCGGACAGCCTGTGCCCAGGTGGCCACTGGAAGGCTGATCCTGCCCTCCTCCCTCCCCCACCAGAGGACTCGGGCTCCGGGCTCATGAACACTCTCTTGAATGGACACAAGGTAATGAGGTTCCCCTCCTGGGACAGCATGCTCCTGCGAGAGAGATCTGGAGGTTTCTAGACCCTCTCGCGGATGTTAAGCGACTGCCATCTCCCGGAACACCCAGGGGGTGGGTCTGCCTTCCCTCCAAACCGCCACCTTGTCCTTTTGCCCAGGGTGGAGACTGTGACGGCTTCTCCACCTTCGATGTCCCCATTTTCACTGAAGAGTTCTTGGACCAAAACAAAGGTGAGCATCAATGGAGTCCGCAGGGGCCAGCGCACGGACGTGGGTGCTGTGCTCCAGGGTGGGCCCAGGGGGGCCCCGGTGGGGAGAGGGTTGGCGGGGTCCGCCTCCTCTGAGCTGGGGGCTGGTGCGGGGCCGGTAGCCAAGGCTGAGTGGCGGGGTCGCCGGGCCAGCTGCAGGCCCTAACCCGCTCCCCGGCCGGCTGCAGCGCGGGAGGCGGAGCTGCGGCGCCTGCGGAAGATGAACGTAGCCTTCGAGGAGCAGAACGCGGTGCTGCAGAGACACACGCAGAGCATGAGCAGCGCGCGCCAGCGCCTGGAGCAGGAGGTGGCGCTGGAGGAGCGGCGGACGCTGGCGCTGCAGCAGCAGCTCCAGGCCGTGCGCCAGGCGCTCACCGCCAGCTTCGCCTCGCTGCCTGTGCCGGGTGCGGAGCGCCGCGGGTCGCCGGCCCCCCGCCTCTAGCCCCGCCCAGCCCGCCACAGACGACCCGAGCGCCCCAGCCCCCAGACGCCGACCTAAACTCGTCGCTCCTGGCCCGGTCCCTTCCGGCCGCGCCTTCTTTCCGGGTCCCCCAACATCCCTGGCCGGCCCGGGAGCCCCGCCCCTGTGACCTCCCCCAGCTCCCCCAGACCACAGGAGCCGCCCCTCGCCGCCCCTCCGACTTCAGGCCCTTCTGGCCGCAGAGCCCGGAGCCCGGAGCCCTGAGCCCTGCCCTGGGGCCCGCCCCTGCCCTGCCCTCCCTGTCCCGCTAACCCCTCCCCGTGCCCTCTAGCCCCGCACCCCACTCCGTGGGGTCCTCCGCTCTTATAGCCCCCCCACCACCACCAGCCGGGTTCCCCACAAGACCCGGCCGTCCAGCTTCCTGCCCACAGCTGACCTTGATGGCCTCCTGCCGCCTCCATATCCAGACAACCCAATCCCGACCTAACCCCACTATTACTGCCGGTGACCCCCCTCGCAGGACCCCTTCCTGCAGAACCCCTGTCCTCTGCCCCAAGGAGCCAGTCCTGTGAGTCCTGGGGGCTGCTGACCACCTGCCCGCCTTCCACAGGCACTGGCGAGACGCCGACGCTGGGCACGCTGGACTTCTACATGGCCCGGCTGCATGGGGCCATCGAGCGTGACCCAGCCCAGCATGAGAGGCTCATCGTCCGCATCAAGGAGATCCTGGCCCAGGTCGCCAGGTCTGTGCCTGCTTCTGTGGCCTGGACCCCAGTTTAGTCACCAGAGGGGTCCCTGGGGAGTACTGGAGGGGCTGGTAGGGCATAGCCTTGTCAGGTGGGGTCCACTGGGGTCCACAACGTCCCCTAATCTCAGGGTAGATCCTAGGTGCCCAGGTTAGTTGGGCTCCACTCTGGGAGGAGCTGGGGGGCCTGGCCTCTGGGTTTCCTGGGAATGGTGGTTGCTGAGCCCTGATGTGGGGCCTCCTCTCTCCCCTTACAGCGAGCACCTCTGAGGAATGGGCCGCTCACGACGCAGATAAGCAGCTCTGGGCTCATCTCTATCCCCACCCCAGTGAAGGAGAGGCTGGGGGTCCCCCCTTAGGGGCTAGGCCCCATTCTGCACCTTGGGGGCACCAGCCCCCCTAAAATTAAATTTCTACAATATCCCTTTAGCTTTCCGTCTCCCCAGCTTCTTGAACCCAGAGGAAGCACTGGGCATTGGAGCTGAAGCCAGACCCCGTGGCCGCAGAGCTAGAGAGGCCTGCTCCCCTCTTGGGGCTGGCCGCAGGGCAGGACCCAGACAGGACTGCTGCACACCTGGTGGGGCTCCGTGGCCACCCACCACACGATGTGGGACCCCGAATTGCTCACCAAGAGGGCGGCACAGTGTGCCTTACAGGCAGGGGGCACCCTGGTGACCACTTTCACGGGTGGGCCCCCAAATCCCTGCACCCCAGGGAAAGCTGTGCAAACCCCTTGTCCAGTAGAGGGACCTCGGGAGCCAGACCTTTCCCCAACTCAATCCCAACATCTGCAATAAACACAGTAGAGTTTGCGTTCAGGCTTGTGAGTGTGCAGTTTCTGGGGTATGGATGGCCAGGAGATGCACACAGGACCTCTGTGACACCAGCAAGGGACATCAGGCCTGCCCTCCTACCTCCACAGAGCAGCATCCACCCCGCGCTCCTGGGGTGGCCGGTGGGCTCAGCACAGAGGGGCTCAGGAGGTTGCAGGGGTCCGTGGCCATCCAGCTGGTCTCCTGCCGTGGTGGGACCGTGCTGTGTGCCCCTGAGCTGTGGCTACCATCTCAGCCCTTATGAAATGACGCTTCTGTGGCATTGAGCTCATTCACAATGTTAGGCCACCATCATTTCTACTGACTACCAGAACATTCTTACCACCCCAAAAAGAAGTCCCATCCCTATGAGCATCCGTGCCCCAGTCCCCCAGACCCTGACAGCCAGACTCCACTTCCTGTCTCTGATTCAGGCACTTCCTGTGAGTGGACTCCCACCCACACTGTGTCCTTTTGTGTCTGAGCTCAGGCTGAGTGCCAGGTCCTCAGATCCACCCACACTGTGGCTGGTATCATGTTTGGCAGGTCGGTTGGTTGGTTGTGGTCCTGGGCATGGAACCCAGGGGTGCTCTGTCACAGCTACATTCTTAGCCCTTTGTGGTTTTGAGACAGGGTCTTACCTGGCATGTATGAGGCCCTGAATTCAATCCCCAGCCCTTCAGGGCAGGTGAGAAAAAAAGGGAGCCAGGCCCTCAATAAGTTACCCAGGCTGGCCTCCGACTCGGCCCTCCTGCCTCAGCCTCCCGGGTACCCAGACGATAGGCGTGAACCCCTCCCTGGCTTCACTCGGCAGCTTTCTAAGCGATAGCAACTTCTCCTTCCTGCCCAAGGCCTCCTGGAACTTGCTTCCCACCAATGATTGGTTCGTGAGATTCCTCAGCAGCAGGAGGCTGCTCCAGGCTCTGCCTTGTGGCTGTGTGCCACGCACGGGACAGGAGCAGTGTCACAGGCCAAGACACCTGTCCAGGAACCCTGATGGATGCCCAGGTGGTTCCAGCCCCACAGCCCCAGGGGGCTGCAGGCTTCTGTGCTGGGTATCCTTGTCCTCACCAAAGACTGCCTGAGTGCCCGCTCTGTGCAGCAATGCTGCAGGAATAAAGGACACCAAGGGGGGGGGCGGGCTGGGGTCGTGGCTCAGCGTCGAGCGCTGCACCTGTGAAGTGCTGAGCTCGACCCTCAGCACCACATAAAAACAGACAAATACAGAGATAAAGGTATTGTGTCCAACTACAAAAATGATAAGAATTAAAGAAGGACACCAGGCCCAGGTGGCCCAGGAGCTGAGCCTGTAGACAGGGACGCAGGCAGGACACGGGGAGAAAGTGAACTATCTACCGTCTTTAGATGCTGAGGAGACAACGCTGGGGAAGGTAGGTTTAGAGGTGGTGCAAGCAGGAGGTCAAAGTCCTGAAAGAGGTGGGGAGTGAGTGGACCCTGCAGGGCTCTGGGGAGGGTGACCCAGGCAGAAGGCCGGCTGTGCAGAAGCTCTGGGGCAAGGCTTTGGAGGCAGAGTCAGGAGTTTGTGTGGCTGGAACAGGGGGGAGAGGGAAGGGGGAGGCAGTGAGGGGACAGGAGAGGTCCTGCAGGGTCTCCTGGATCACAGGAGGACTTGGGCTTTGACTCAAAAGGAAGTGGGAGCTATGGAGGGCTGTGGGCAAAGGAGGGACGCCCGCCCAGCAGGCAGCTCACGTTATACCAACATAACGCCCCTCCCCATCTCTTAAGTCTGTTGCAAGAATTAAAGAACCCAAGCAGCAGAGAGTGAGTGCCAGGGCACGGAGCTGTCCCCGACCTTATTTGTGATCCTTGTTATTTCTGCATCTGCATCTCAGGCCCCTGCGGACTGCCAGACGTCCCCAGGGAGGGTGCAGCAGGCCCTGGCAGGGCCCGGACACCTGGGGCCCGTGCCCCCCTCCCCACCCCATGGTGTCGCCTTCCCGGGCGGCTCGGGTTCCCGGATCGCCTTACCAGGGCGACTCGGCTATCGCGCCCTGGACAGGGGGAGGGGAGGCTGCAGGAAGCGGTGGATCCGGAGGCGGCGGCGGCAGCCTGGGTGGGTGGAGGAGCTCCTCCGGCCATGGAGAGCGCTGCTGCCCGCGAGGCCCCGGGGGCTGAGACCCCGCGCGCCCCCGTGCCCCCGCCCTCCCCGGCGGAGACCCCAGCCGCGCCCCGCGTGCGCCCGCGCCTCGTCTTCCGCACGCAGCTGGCGCACGGCAGCCCCACCGGCAAGATCGAGGGCTTCACCAACGTCCGCGAGCTCTACGCCAAGATCGCAGAGGCCTTCGGAATCGCGCCCACCGAGGTGAGTGCCCCCCACCCCGATTCCCGCGCCCGAGGTGCCGGGCGGAGCGGGGATAGGGACAGAGCCTGGGCCCTAGACGGGGGCCCGCGGATCCCAGATTCCTAGGAAACCTCGGGTCCCAGGACCCCCGGATGCGGGGAGCTTGCGGAGGTCTGTTCGCCAGATCTCAGGAATGCTCCTCTGGATCCGGAGGTGCCCTGCGCAGAAGATTAGCAGGTCTTGGGTCAGGAGCGCCCACTCCGTGGACCCAGCTAGGCTGGATCCCTGCCTCCGGGAAGAGCTCCCCGAGTTCCTGGGCGCCGGTGCCTGGGGTCCGGAGGTCCGTGGCTCTGGAGGCTGGGAGCTGGTGCTTTCCAGACAGGTCCTTGCACTGTGCAGCCCAAAGGGGGCGCCAGGAAATTCCATTTTTCTGAAAAAAAAAAAAAAAAACCTCCTCCGGGGTTTAACATGGAAGTCGGGGTTCGGGAGGTGGCGGAGAGGGACCCCTTGTGTCCGCAGCTTCCTTCTCTCCCACATCCCCATTCTGAGGTCCCAATCCCGGCCAATCCCCGCGGGCTGCCTTTGGACCTCGGTTTCCTCGTGGGGCTCTGCATCCACGCACCCCAGGGAGGTGCAGAGTCGAGGGCTGAGGCGAGCGCCCCCCCTCCCGCAGATCTTATTCTGCACCCTCAACAGCCACAAGGTAGACATGCAAAAGCTTCTGGGTGGACAGATAGGGCTGGAGGACTTCATCTTTGCCCATGTGCGCGGCGAGACCAAGGAGGTGGAGGTCACCAAAACAGAAGATGCCCTGGGACTGACCATCACAGACAATGGGGCTGGCTACGCCTTCATCAAGGTGCCTAGGGTGGGCCGGTCACCTCCTGGGTGTTTGGGGATCTGACTTGAGTGACTGCCTCTCTGGATCTACGTAGGCTCTGGGGACCCAAGGGAGGTGGCCGGGTTGCCTGAGAGCAGCTCTGGGTGCCCACAGAGGATCAAGGAGGGCAGCATCATCAACCGCATCGAGGCAGTGTGTGTGGGCGACAGCATCGAGGCCATCAATGACCACTCCATCGTCGGCTGCCGCCACTACGAGGTGGCCAAGATGCTCCGGGAGCTGCCCAAGTCCCAACCCTTCACCCTGCGCCTGGTGCAGCCCAAGAGAGCCTTCGGTGAGAGCCACCTGGGCTGGCGGGGGGAGCGACCAGAAAGTGGGCACTTGGGACAGTGGAGGACGGGAAGGGGCAGGGTGGACGGTGTGGAGGGCGGGGCTCAGGGGCAAAGTGCCTGCCTGGACGTGGGGCCCTGGGCTCCACCCCCAGCATCACACACACACAGGACATTTCTAGATGCCTCTTGTGCATGGCAGGCTCCTGGCACTGTATCCAGAACGGGCAGGGACTTTCTAGACCACCAGAGGGTCAGTTGTGGGGGAGGACAGGGGAAAGCTCGGGCAGAGGGGTCAGATAAGTCAACTGTTTGGCCGGCTGAGAGCTTGTGAGGTGGCCCCGTGACACCCTGGAGTGTTCTAGGAAGGTGCTTTCAACAGGGAATCTGAGACTGGCCCCTGGGAGAGGCAGAAGCTTGCTCCAGAGGGTGGCTCTCGGCCTCGGCACTGTGGACACCGGGGCTGGACCCTTCTCTGGAGGGGTGTCCTGGGCACTGCAGGGTGCTGAGCAGCATCGCTGGCTTCCATCCATTCCGGCCAGGAGCACACGACAGCCACAGATGTCAGACATGGCCCAGGGTGCCTGGGGACAGGTCCACCCTGCTGGGGCCTCTGTTCTAGAATGTGCACCATCACGGCCACTTCCTCCTGTGGATCAACATGGGCTGCCCTCCTTGGCCCATCGTGGGCGGCCCTTTGGGTGGCACCATTCTAGGGTGACAGACTCCAACGGTGCCTGGCACATGGTGGAGGAGGCCCAGGAGACAGGAGCGGGGGGCTTAGATCTGTCTAAAAGGAAGAGCCACTTCTCCAGGGAGGACCCCGACCCTCCAGCCACCGAAGGGGCGAGTCCTTTGAAGAGGCAGGTTTGGGGAAGTGTCCGGGGCAGGATGGACATGTCGGTTTCCTCCTGGCTGCTGTGTGGCTCGCTCTGGACTCGTGGCTTCGTGTCTTAGGAAGAGTGGAACCTGAGTGGTCTCTGAAGGTGAAGGGCAAGAAGGTTCTAGAAAGCTCAGCTGGTGGCTTCCCGGGGTTCTCCACATCCAGAACACGCCTGTCCCCACTCTGTTCCCTCCAGATATGATCGGCCAGAGGAGCAGGGGCAGCAAATGTCCTATGGAAGCACGAGTGGCCAGTGGGAGGGAGACCCTGCGGCTCCGCTCTGGGGGTGCTGCCACAGTGGAGGAGGCGGTGAGTGGGGCGTCCTCCAGGGCCGGGCGCCAGGCTCCCCCGGAGCCTCCGTTCCCCTCCCGTGAGGCGGGTCCTGGGAGGGGGCGGGGCCATCGGGTGGCGCCAGAGCACTGATGCTGGGTGTCCCACCTGCTCCTCCCCGGGGCGGGTGGCTGGGTGGCACTTCTCACCCTCGGCCTCCTCCCCTGTGCCCCAGCCCAGCGAGTTTGAGGAGGAGGCGTCCCGGAAGGTGGACGACCTGCTGGAGAGTTACATGGGCATTCGGGACCCAGAGCTGGGTAAGGGGCCCGGGTAAGCTGGGGGTCCCTGGAGGGAGGACAGTCCCCGGGAGGAGGCAAGGGCCCCGGGCAGCCGAGGCCAGGAGCAGCCTCACCACGTCCCTCCCGTATGGCCCGCAGCATGCACCATGGTGGAGACATCCAAGAAGACGGGCAGTGTCCGGGAGTTTGCGCGCTGTTTAGACTCCGTCTTGGGCGAGTTCGCCTTCCCGGACGAGTTTGTGGTGGAGGTGTGGGCCGCCATCGGAGAGGCCAGGGAGGCCTGTGGCTAGTCTGCCCCGGGGCCGAGTGCAGCCCCAGCCCGCAGCCCAGCCCACTGCCCCCGCCATCCCAGCCGGTGCCCAAAGGCCAGCCCTGCTCCAGAACCCAGTGGAGCTCAGAGGCCAGGTTCATCTCTAGAACCCAATCCACTTCAGAGTCCCAACCCGGCTCCACAACCCAGCCTTTCATTAGAATGCAGCCCAGCTCTGAAGCCAAACTGTGCTCCAGAACCCAGGCCAGCTCTGAGCTAGAACCCACCTCTAGATACCAGCCAGGCTCGGAGACCAAACTCAGCTCTGAGACCAAGCCTGGCTCCAGAACCCAGCTCAGCTCTGAGATCAAGTCCTGTTCTAGGACTCAGAGCAGCACTGAGACTAAGCCTGACTCCAGAACCCAGCTCAGCTCTGAAACCAAGTCTTGCTCTAGAACACAGGCCAGCTCTGAGCTAGAACCCACCCCTAGATACCAACCAGACTCAGAGACCGAACTCAGCTCCGAGGCCAAGCCTGACTCCAGAACCCAGCTCATTTCTGAGATCAAGCCCCGTTCTAGAACTCAGGCCAGCTCCGAGACCAAGCCTGACTCTTCAACCCAGCTCAGCTCTGAAACCAAGTCTTGCTCTAGAACGCAGGCCAGCTCTGAGCTAGAATCCACCTCTAGATACCAGCCAGGCTCGGAGACCAAACTCAGCTCTGAGACCAAGCCTGACTCTTTAATCCAGCTCAGCTCTGACACCAAATCTCGCTCTAGACATCAGGACAGTTCTGAGACCAAGTCTAGCTCCAGAACCCAGCTCAGCTCTGAAACAAAATCCTCTTCTAGAGCTCAGACCAGCAGCAAGACCAAACTCCACTCTGGAACCCAGCTCAGCTCTGACACCAAATCTTGCTCTAGAACACAGGCCAGCTCTGAGCTAGAACCCACCCCTAGATACCAACCAGACTCAGAGACCGAACTCAGCTCCGAGGCCAAGCCTGACTCCAGAACCCAGCTCAGCTCTGAGATCAAGCCCCGTTCTAGAACTCAGGCCAGCTCCGAGACCAAGCCTGACTCTTCAACCCAGCTCAGCTCTGACACCAAATCTTGCTCTAGACATCAGGACAGTTCTGAGACCAAGTCTAGCTCCAGAACCCAGCTCAGCTCTGAAACAAAATCCTCTTCCAGAGCTCAGACCAGCACCGAGACCATACTCCACTCTGGAACCCAGCTCAGCTCTGAGACAAAGCCCTGTTCTAGAACTCAGGCCAGCTCTGAGACCAAGCCTGTCTTTAGAACTCAGCTCATTTCCAAGACCAAGTCCTCTTCTAGAATTCAGGCCATTTCTGCGATTGAGGCCAGCTCTAGAATTCAGCCAAGCCCTGACAGCAGACCAAGTTCTGGAACCCAGACAGATTCTAAGATTCTGCTCAGTTTGGAGATTAATCGCAGTTCTGGAACCCAGTCCAGCTCTTATACTAAGTCTGGCCATAAAACTCCACCTGTCTCTATGACTCAAGACACCTGCATGGCCCGGCCCTACCTGGACACTCAGGCCAGCCTGGGAGCACCACTTAGTTTTGGACCCCAGGTGAGACTCCAGAATAAGCCCAGCCATGGAATTCAAACCAGCTCAGGATTAAAGGTCAGCTCTCAGACAAAACCCCATCCAAGAACTCAGGCCAGCCCAGAAAGCTGGCCCCATGCTGTCGCTCAATCCAGAACCAAACCTCAACTCTACTCTAAAACCCATTTGCTTCCAACTACCTGCCCCCGTCCTGAGTCCAAGTCCAGCTCTGAGACTGGGCTCAGCTCTAGAACCCAGCCTACAGCTACAACGAGGCCCGTCTCCAGAATCCAGACCAGCACTGGCACGCCCCCTGCCCCTGAGCCCAGCTCTGGAACGCGGCAATGTGCCGAGCCCCAGTCTCCCTGCAGAGCACGGTCCAGCTCTGGGACCCAGACAGACCACACAGCCTGGCCCAGCTGCAGAGCTCAACCCAGCTCCAGAACTCGGCTCAGTTCTGGAGCACAGCCCGGTTCTGAAAACCCAGCCGGCTCTGAAATGCAGGCAGCAGCTGGGACCCAGCTGAGTTCTAGAACCCAGCTAAGTGCCGGAGTCCAGTCTAGTCCTGCTGCGACCCAGTCCAGTGCAGCCCTGGGGCTGGGCTCCAGGACCCTGTCCAGTTCTGGGAGCCAGCACCACCCAGGAGCTCCACCAACCTCTGGGACTCTACTGTGCTCCAAACCCCTGCCAAGCACTAGATCCCAGCTCAAGGGCACACCCCAGGCCACCTCTGGTCCTCAGGGGGACTTAGGGAAGCAAAGCGGCTCTGGAGCACAGTCTGGCTCAGGGACTCGGGCAAGGGCAAGGGTGCAGCCCAACTCTGAACCCCCTTCAGCTCCAGCACTCCCCCCGGCTTTAGAGCCCCCTCAGCGCAGAGGCCCAGCTGAGCTCCAGCCGCGGCTCCACCCACCGGCCCCCGGCCTTGACCCTGGAGTTCAGCCTGCCCAGCCCAGCCCCAGTCCCCAGGCCCATCGCCCAAAGCCCAACTCCAGCCCCTGGGCCTCTGCCTCAGCCCAGGATCCGGGACATAAAACCCCCCAGGAGCCAGCCCTTTTCCCCAAGCCCCAGTTGGGGCCCCAGATGGCCACCAGACCCACCATACCTGCCACTTCAAGTCCTGTCCCCAGGGTGGTCCTGTGAGTTCCCAGCCCCCTGTGCCCCTCCCCCATGCTCAGGGAGACAGGGTCCCTCCCCCGCGATGGGTTGCTGGGGCACGACACTCTCCTGGCTCCTGCAGCCTCCTCCTCACCTGTCCCTCCCAGCCTGCCCCCCCCCATGAGGCAGGTGACCTCCTTTCCCAGCAGGTGGAGGGGTAGAACGGGGCTTGGGTTTCAGGTGCCTGGAGGTGTAAGCGGACCCAGGCGGGAGGGGGAGGCGGCTGCTCTCCGCACCCTCAGGGCTCCTGGCAATAAAGGCACTTGGCACCCTGCAGCAGCCCTGTGTCACTGTGGGGCGCCCGTGAGGGGCGGCCAAGGAGAGGGGGCTGGGCATGGGTGGTCAGCGAATGCCCGCGAGCGCCTGCTGTGTGCCGTGCACTTATTGAGCTCTTCCTGGGCCTCCGAGTACCTGCCCGGGTCCCAGTGTTGTGCGGGGGCCCTGCGCCCTCCCTGCTGCGGGGACTGGAGGAAGCTTCCGCACCGTCTTGCCGCCGTCCGTCCCTCCCTCTCTTCTCCCGACGGTAACCGGGGAGGCCGACAGCCCCGCCGCGTCCGGAAGCGAAGGAACACACAGCGGGGCCCAGAGATATATTTCGGCATGAAGGGGGGACCCCGCTCACACCCCAGGCAGAGCCTCCCCAGGCGGGGTTCGGAGGGAGCCCCCGGCCCCCCAGCGTCCAGGTCCTCGGCCGCGGCTTCCCGCACCTCCGCGGGGTTTCGGGAAGGGGAGCCCCGCGTTCTGAGCTCCCCCAGCCTTGCTCCTGGCCCCTCCTGGGGCGCCCAAGGGTCCGCGGCTGGGGAGAAGGGGACCTCAGAGAGGGCGGCGGCCCCCACGGCGGACCGCAGAGGGGCCCCTGCTCCCGCGGCTCCGGTCCGCGGTCCACTCAGAGCCCCAGCTCCTGGGCCCTGGGGACAGGCGGATTATGGGAGGCTGGTCCTTGCTGGCCCTACTGCAGCCTGGCGCCCTGGGCCTGCTGCGGCCGCAGGGAGAGGGACCTGGGCCGGGCGCTGAGGCGCGGGTGCAGGCGGCGCAGCACTGCGCGGCGGAACAGGATGTACACCCAGGGGTCCAGGATCTGGTTCCAGGTGGCCACGCGCAGGTAGATGAGCAGCTGCTGCTCCGTGGCCCGGGACAGCTGCCCGGCCGGGCTCATGGCAGGCGGGTTCTGCAGCACCGTCTGGGCGATGAAGACCTGCGAGGGCCAGGGCGTTAGCGGGCAGCAGGCTCTGAAATGCACCTTCCTGGGTCACCTGGGGGGAACTGCCTGACCTCTCTGAGCTGCTGCTGCTGTGTCCATGAAATAGCACCTGGGCGAGAGCAGGCACCGAAAACCACACTGCCCACCTCCCCCTCCGCGGGCTGAGCTCCCCCGGCACACTGGGAAGCACTGCTGTATTAACTCACATCTCATATAAGTGTTTGTGGTCCTGGGGATGGGACCCAGGGGCAACAAACCGCTGAGCCACACCCTCAAACCTTTTTAATTTTTATTTGAGACACGGTCTCACGAAGTGGCTTAGGATCTTGCTAAGTTGCAGAGGCTGACTTCGCACTTGCAGTCCTCCTGCCTCAGCCTCCTGAGTCACTGAGATTACAGGTGTGTGCCACCTCGCCCGCCAAAAGACAGTTATTTTACACATGCTATATTTCTGCATGCTGTACTTGGTTATTTTAACACATTTCATTAAATGTAAAGTTTATACTCGTAAAATGTAGGAGAGATGTTTTAATAAATTATTGTACAACATGATTTTTGAGAGTGACATAATAGTTACATTGTTAATGTAATTACTAGTGATGACAACTCATGGCAGGCATATAATTACATAACACGAGAAATCATGCATTATGTCGTCAAATCTTGTATAACAATGTAACTATTAGTTTTGATAACAAAGTAAATATAATTGTCTTATATTGTATAATTACAACTAATTGTAATTAAAATGTAGAGTGTGCTAAAATAATTCGTATTTTATTAAAATGTACTGCTACATTAAAATTATTTCCTGAGCATCTACTGTGTGCTGGGTGCCGCTGGGGACAGAGCAGAGGGAAGGCAGACCCCAGTCCCACCCTCACCAACCACGCCGGGGTCCTGAAGCTGGGCTCTTCCAGCCTGTCCTCTCCGCAGCCGCCAGAGGGCGCCTGCGAGCACCTGACTCGGGCCCCTCCTCTGCGCACAGCCCTCCAGGGCTCCCACCTCCCACCTCCCAAGCCCCGGTCCTGCCTGCAGCCACTGGGCCTGCACCACCTGCCCTGCCCCATCCCTGTTTCCTCCCACCGTCTCTCTGCTGCGCCCACATGGGCTCCTCACTGTGCTCCCAACATGCCAAGCTCCTCCCCAGGGCCTTTGCTGGGCTGGACCCTCGGCCTGGAGCGCTCCTCCCCAGCTCTCCTCCAGTTCACCCCTGAGGTCTGCAGTAGCCTCCTCCTCCCCACCCTCGGCCTCCAGGCTCCTGCAGCCTCCCTCCTCCCTCCCTCCCTCCCTTCTCTCCTTCCTTTTTTTAAACTGGGGATTTGACTCTGGGATGCTCTAACCCTGAGCCACCTCCCCAGCCCTTGGATGTTGGAGTCCTCTGGCCTCGGCCTCCCCAGGCGTCACAGGCACGCCCCTCCACGCCCGCAAAGGGCCCTGTTCCCAGCCCTGGGAGGTGGGCTCTGAAGGATGCCGAGGAGTCGCCTGCTGGGCAAACCAGGGCGGCTCTGGGCAGTCAGTTTTGCCCTCTGTGGTGTCTGCCCATGGACCGGCTGGTGCGCGGTTGGTGCTCAGTGAGCGTCTGCTGACCCACGGAAAGGTGGACATCTTGTCCCTTTTGTGTGTGTGGTGCTGGGCAGATCCCAGGGCCTCACGTGCCCACCTGTGACTGGTAAGTGTCCACCAGGATCAGTGGCCCAAGGTGCCATCTGTTAACCCCTCCCCCCTCAGAGGGCACCGCCAGACTGAGGCAGTAAGCCCCTGGGCAAGGCTGGGGACCGAGCATGGCTCTGACCTGGGCTTCTCCTCCTGACTCCAGTGACAGCCGTTCAATGACAGGACCTCAGACCTTCAGTGCATGAAGAGCGGCCTGGGCATTCCGGCCACCAGCCAAGCTCCCCGACCCAGGGACCATCTGGCCCGGCTGAGGTCCAGCCCGGCATCGGGCACAAGGTAGCATCAGGAAGTGAGGTTGGCCTGGTTCCACCCAGAATGCTTCCCCAGGTTTCATCTGGCAGGTGAACTCCTACTCATCCTCCAGAGCCTTAGCTTTGATGCCCTCCCCTGAGCCGCCGACCCCGGGGCCCCAGCGGCAGCCTGGAACCCCCCCAGGCTCTCAGTACCCGGATGCTCCCCTGCCCAGTCACCCAGGAGCATGGAGCCTCCCCGGAGCCCTGCCCACACTCACCAGCAGCGGCATCCAGCAGACGCTGGCCACCAGCATGATGCCCAGGAGCTGCACCATCATCTCCACCTCGCAGTCGCGCGGGCGCTGCTGGGCGGCCTCCTGCCCGTGGTAGACGTGGCACAGGGTGGCCACGCTGATGGTGTTGAGCAGGAAGGACAGCCCGACCGACAGGCCGCCGAGCAGCGCGAACAGCAGCCCGAAGGCCGCGTCCCCGAGCTGCGCCCCCAGCGTGAGGAAGCACCAGGAGCCGGGGTACTGCACGGTGTAGTGGCCCACGCCCAGCAGGGGCAGCAGCCCCAGCGCCAGCGCCGCCGCCCACACCAGCCCCACGGTGGCCCAGGCGCGGCGCTGCGAGGCGGCCGCCGAGCGGGAGAAGGGCCGGGTGATGCCCAGGTAGCGCTCGGAGGCCATGGCGGCCCCCAGCAGCAGGGGACACAGGCCGAAGAAGACCATGGCCACGCCCATGAAGTGGCAGAGGCCGCAGCCGGGGTCCGCTGTGCGCCAGTCGAAGAGCGCGGCGTGCCGGGACACCACGAGGACCCCGGTGACCAGAAGCCCCAGGAAGTCGGTGAGGACCAGGCCGCCCAGCAGGGTGAGGAAGGGGGACCGCGGGCAGCAGCTGCCCTGCCGCGCGCCGGCCAGCACGCTCAGCGCCAGCAGGTTGGAGGCCAGGCCCACGGCGCAGAAGGAGGCCGCGAACCAGGGAGAGGCCACCAGGCGCCGCTCCTCGGGCGTGGTGTTTGTTGGGCGGAAGCAGGGCCCCAGGACACTGCTGTTGGACCACATGGCGCTGGAGCCGCGTCACCACCCCATCAGGCGCAGGCTGCAGGCGGGCCGGCAGGCACACCTGGGAGGCAGAGAGGGGGAGGCTGCACTCGTCCTGCACGGTCTCCCCGTGCCTCTGGCAACTCCTGCACAACCCTCAAGACCCCAGGGCACGCGCCCCTCCGCCCCTCCGCCCTCCCTTCGCACAGGTGCGTCCTCATCCGCTTGGACCACCCCTGGGAGGCCACCACCACTCCCACTCCAGTCTCACCGTCTCAAGGGCTCTCGAGGGCACAGGCCAGGGCCCTTCCTCAGGGGACACCAGGGGACGTTTTCTGCGTCCTAGAGAAAGGCAGGGGGTCGAGCTCCAGCCCCGGTTCCCACCATGGCCCCGGGGGTGGGGGCTCCCGTCCTGAGCGTCAGACTCGGCCTCCCGCACACGCAAGCTGGACGTGGCTGACCCCAGCACACGCTCCAGCCGCTGAGGTGGAGACCCGGCCAGAGGCCGCAGCTCGGGTGCCAGCTGGCTGCTAGGCGGTCCTGGAAAGGCCCGTGGGGTCCCTCCCCTGGGTGTGCTGGGACAGGGGCGGGTCGCTGCCTGGCCACACTCTCCTGGGACGCATAGTGCGAGTCTGCTTTCCGTTTCTGTGCGTCACTTTTATAATAAGAAATAACCCTGAAGTTCCCGTTCCATGTGGGAACAAAGAGCCAGCTCCCTCGCAGGGACCCACCATGAGGGCAGTGGGCACCAGGGAGAACCCAACACCCAGCCGCTCACACACCACGTGGGCTGCGGGTCGGCCACACAGCGAAACCAAGGCCAGATGTGGATGAGCACGAAGCAGCTCCATTAACAGCCAGCGCCCTGCAGGCCAGGGCTCGGAGGCCGAGGCCCGAGGACCAGGAGTGCGCAGCCAGCCTCAGCAACTCAGTGAGGCCCTGTCTCAAAATAAAACCAGAGGGCTGGGGACGCGGCTCGGTGGTTAAGTGCCCCTGGGTTCAAACCCTGGTACCAAAAATAAAGAAAATAAAAAAGAAAAAGAAAGAAAACTCGGCTCCTGGTTCCTGAGGACACCACAGAGGACAAGAGAGTCCAGAGCCGCCCTGAGTTGCCCGCCATCC